CCCACGTGCCAGTACCTGCCAGCCCCACCACTGCCCATATCCTCCAGCCCACGCTTCCCCCTGCACTGCCAGAACCCTAGGGGGCTCCTGAGGACCCACAGACCCCACCGGGCACCTCCTGGCACCGGGGACACCGGGTCACTCCTCCACACATCCCACCAGGGATGACCACCCCGAGGGTCTCCCAGCTTGGCCAGCTATTATCAGTTACTACACATTTAAGCCGGTGTTTCCATAACACTGGATGTTTAGGGCAATGCTACAGGGTGTTTATTGTAAAACAAGAGATACTAATTCCGCTTTCTTCCCTTCAGTAACCCTCCTCAGTAGCGACCCTGCCAGCAGCCCCTAGCCCAGCAGCGATGCTCGTGTGCCCGTGAGGCTTTACGTGCAGGCTCTGCGGCCAGCGGGCCGCCGGCATCTCCTCTGCCCTTTCATGCAGGTCCTCAAGTGTTGCTTTCCACCAGCTGGTTTGTCCCTGCCCCGAGGTAGCCGTGCTGCCGCGAGGAATTTAACAAAGCCACAGTCAATTAAAGTCCATAGACTGTGAGATCCTGGAGATGATTAATGCAGGATTGCCCACTAATTTGCTAGAAACTGCTAATGAGGAGGAAAGGAATAAAAAAAAAAAAGCAGCAAAATGAAAGGGCTATATTTTTCAAATGGCTCACAACAAGGCATGCCTCAGACAAGCAAAAACTGTGCAAACCTGAAGATTTAGGTCCATCCACACAAATTGCCACGGGCCAGACCAACGCGGTACTTGCCCACGCAACCGCAGAGCGCAGACAGTGCCTGCCTGCACGGCCCTCGGCAGCAGACAGCTCTGCTGTGCACGGGCTTGACAGACTTGGGGCTTGTTTAAGAAACGGGTGTGCCGACTGTCACCTGCAAACAGCACATGAGCCCCAGAAGATCAGAGCCACGTGCCCCAAAAAGCGCACACCGGCTGCTTGTTGAACCCATCCAGCAACGGCACGAACCCAAAGCCATCCATCCTCCAGAGAGCTCGTTCCACCCTGCCCCCAGACCCAACTCACTTGGGCAAACAAACAAACAAACGGAAAAACCCCAACAAGGTGAAACTTTGCAAAGAGCTTACGCAGACTCAAATATTTTGGGGATTTTTGTGTGGATGTGTGTGACAGCACATTTTCAAACACGACCACTTTTTAAAGCCTCCCACAGGCTTTTCACAAGACACAGGCTTGTACGTGCCTAATCTGCTCTCTAAAGCTGAGCTCAGCTGCTCAGGGAGAGGATATCTTCCCACCCATCCATCTGATCTCCAGGGTCAGGAACCCCAGCAGAGTCACCTCTGGAGTCATCCTTCGGAGAGGAGGATGGATGGTGGAGAGCAGCACCTCGACCTTCGGTTGATTAAGTGCAAGACCAGAGGCCAGAGCAGTCCTGGCGTACCGCAACCAGAGGGACCTCACAGCCCTTCGGTCTGTAAACGCACCATACCCAACATCACCCTGTGACTAACAGGAATGACGTGAGGCAGCAGAAATTCACTGAATCACTTCTGGTTTAGCTCTGATCTAAACTGAGGCCAGCACAGCTGAATCTAAACTAGAGCTTACACCCCAGTTCAGACCAAGAGCTCTTGACGTTGCACATGCGCAGCAGCCACCACCTCTTCCGAGGAGCTGGGCCCAGTCCCAACCCAGAGGTTCCTCACGCTTGGTCACGGGGGAGTTTGTTTCATTTTACATAGCACAGAGCTGCCATACTGCTCGCTTGGCCCTCCAAGTCTGGGAAAGGCCCTGCGAAGGTACCCCAGGCATTGGCCCATGCAACCATTGTGGGAGAGGTGAGCGGACCCCGCGCACCCGTCTCGCTCCACCCCTCACAGATCAGCAGCTTGGATGACGGCCTGCATCCCACACAGGCGACGGATGCCCTGGCTGGCTGTTGCTTCTCCCTGCTACCCGCTACTGGCCTTCCTGCGACTCCAAGGCTTGGTAAAGTTGAAAGCATCCCACCAACACAACAAAAACCCAACTGCACCATTCTTACGCTCAGGACTCACTAAGAAACACCCACCAGCAGGAGCAGAGGAGGGACCCTCACTTTTCCTGCACGCAGACATTCAGCCCACACGTGCAAAATGACCAGGAGGGTCCAAGAGCCTCTGAGCAATCCAGCCCGAGCATCACCCTGTCTGAGCAATCCAGCCCGAGCATCACCCTGTCTGAGCAGCTCCACAGTCACCCCGAGGTCCCCTGTCACCACCCAACTGCTCTTTGGAGCTGGCACATGCCATGGAGAGCACGTGGCCACGTGCGGGGCCATCGGAGTGAGCACGAGCTCAAGACTCATCCCCAAGGAACTCCACATGTCGGCTCTGCTTTCGCGTACACAGCTCCTCCATCGCAGCGCCCACAGTGTGCTCCAGAGACAGCAAATCCACAATATCCTGTGCTACTCTCTCGCTCAGCAAGGAAAAATTCCAGCTCTTCAATGCTACTTTGAATAAAAAGCACCATTAGCCAAGGAGAAAATAAGTATTCCTGTACTCCATTCCCAGAAACACATCCCAGCCCAATACCCGCGCAAATGCACATCACACCCCGCAGTTAACTGCACTAGAAAAACCACACTCAGCAACTCCAGAATCTGCTTCTATGTAAAAGGGAAGGTTCTTTTGGTCTGTGGGGTTTTAATAATTTAGCTAGAAGCTTCCATCATGATAACGCAGTTTGGACTTCTGAATTAGGTGGGCAGATGGCAACTCATCGATCCACACAAAACACACAACCCAAGGTCACTGTGATGACTTGCAGCTACAAACCAAACCAGTGCAGTACGATGAAGTTCTCTACTGGCTTTGTTTAGCATCTACAGAAGGTCTTAAAATATTCCCCTCCCCTTTCATTATTTCTCAAGAAGATCCTTCAGGGGAAAAAAAAGCTCCCAGAGTTCTTTTTCTAAAAATCATCAAACTCTAATCTGAATTTCTACAGAATGAGTCACATCTCTGTTTTAAGATGCCTTTCCCTTCCTCCCTGCAGTTTTCCTCCCTCCCCCATGATGGTCCCTGCCAGCCAGAAGAGAACTTCATCTACAACACACACACCGTGATTATTAAACGTCAGCCAAGTGATCAGCCACCGGCACCACACACCAAAGCCATCCCATGAACGAGATGCTTACAGCATCACAGTCCATCGCGGGCAAAGGCCACAAAATGCAACAAGCATGGTCAAACCTATCCTAGAGCCGGCAGTGGCCACAGCAGGGACTCGGGAGGGCCATCGGGGTGCAGGGGGCAGCCGGGACTGCCACGCTAGCCCGCATTCCTAACTGCGTGGCACAATGCCGTGCTGCCCCAGCAGCCAAAACTGAAAGACACAGAACAAAAGAGATGGTTACAGAGCCGCTGGCAGAGGAGACACAGACTCGGCTTCTGCTTTTGCTGTGCAAAATGCAAAGGACCGACCAACAGCAGTTTGGTGCAGTCCTGGGCAGAGGGGTTGGAACACATCATAGAATCACAGAATGGTTTGGGTTGGAAGGGACCTTAAAGCCCATCTAGTTCCAATCCCCCTGCCACGGGCAGGGACACCTTCCACTAGACCAGGTTGCTCCAAGCCACATCCAGCCTGGCCTTGGACACTTCCAGGGATGGGGCATCCACAGCTTCTCTGGGCAACCTGTTCCAGTGCCTCCCCACCCTCTGCAGGAAGAACTTCTGCCTGATATCTAATCTAAACCTCCCCACTTTCAATTTAAACCTGTTCCCCCTTGTCCTGTCACTACAGGCCCTTGTAAAAAGTCCCCCCCAGCTTCCTGGGAGCCTCAGGTGAGGCTGGCGGCGATGCCCATGGTCCCGGGAGGTGCTGCCAGCTGAAAGACGGGACTTCATAAAACGTGCCGTCACCCGGCTCTCCCCCCGGCAGCGGCTGGGCTGCCGGAGTGAGCTGCAGGGCAGGGGTGGCTGGCAGGGACCCGTCAGAAGGCCGTGTGTCCCACACCCCTTCCCAAACGGCAAGGATGAGGAATGGGGCTAAGGAGGCCCTCTCCCTCATCAGAAGCTCTATCTGGCAGAGCTCATCTCAGAGACACTGCATGTGTTTCATTATTTTAAGTCAGGTTTACACCTAAAATGTGTTTTAGCTGCACCTTCTCAGCATTCCCCTACCCTGCAGGCCTTCCAGCCCACGAGCTGGGAGCAGCTCCTGCAAGCTGCCCGGGTCTGGGAGAGCACTGCAGCCAGAGCTCCCGACCTCCTCCAGCTCTGCCAGTCGTACCGGGAGCTGGCTGTGCTGCTTCTGGAGAGGTGGGAGACAACGGCAACCTGCCATCCAGAGGGACACAACATCACACCAACACTTGGGAAACAGGGAGGGGCACAGGCCTCTCGGCAGCCTCACAGAGATCAGCACACAAACGCCACCGTCACGACCAGCCTTTTATTCCTTGAAGAATAAAAGAAACAGAGCCCTTTGTGTCTGCCAGTGCAGGCACAAATTCTGGCATTTGACCCCAGGAATTTGGCCTCCATTTCCACTGGAGTTGACCCCTTAGCTGCTACAAAGGCACCCACACTGCCACAGCATTCAACGGCAGGCGGTGCCGGCACTCGGTAGGTGGAACGAGCCAAGCATAGTCACTGCCGTCCATGACAGCCGCATGACAACTACCTCTGGCGATGGATCACC